AGCAACAGCTTCACAGTTATTGGTAGGGTCCCATACATTATCTGCAGACCAAGTGTGCAAATGACTTAGAATAAACACTTCTCAACTAACTTAGAGGTAGTATTCGTCATGGACTGACATTAGTTAGGGAACCATTGAAAATCTGGGAGCACTGCACAGTTGTTCCTCCCTAGTATGGGACTCCTCATCAGTACGCATCCACGACCCAGCTAGGGATCAGACTCAGGGCCTTCAGGTTTCACGGTGAACGCAGGAGTTGGAAATTGTGAACCACTGAAAACTGACCCAGCGGCTGAGTGGTTAACGTGTTCGCCGCGAAACCTGAAGGTACTGAGTTTGATCCCTAGCCGGGTCGTGGGTGCACACTACTAAGGAGTCCCATACTAGAACAAAACAGCTGTCCAGTGCTCCTAGATTTTCGATGGTTCCCCAACTGATGTCAGTCCATGATGAATACTACTCCTAAATTGAAAATCCCCATTCATCTGAAAAATACTTTCCAACTCAGAAAAGGGACGATGATTTACTCAATGTAGTATCAACACGAAAACTAAACTTTTATCTTTTTAACGCAATGGGGAACATCGTCGTATGAAGGCACATTTCTAGCAGCAGCGAATACATACTCAGACAAAATGATTTTTTTAATTTTCTACACCTATCAGCATGCAATGATATTTTTTAATCACTAAAAAGTATTAAGCACACTTAACAAAACCTTCTACAGAAGACTTTGTTTATTCAGAACTACAATTTATCCTAGCTTCCGGATATATCACATACAGACAGTGGTTATACAACAGGACAAACAGTAATAATATAAAAGTTTTTACTAAACTTGGAATAAAAATCAGGATATGCAGGTATATGTCTGCTTCGGTGCATAGAAGTATTGTGAGGTAAAAAGGATAAACGTGTCGCTCATTGAAGATGTTAAATAACCTAAACAGTTAGTTACATCAATCGAAACTAACAACTAATACAATGGAAAAGAAAGTAAAATCTAGGACAGAAATAAAGTATGCATAAAAAGTGAACCAAGGATACTGTGATTGTAACGAAAGTGAAAGTTGTAAGGTAAAAAGTACCAATTTATGAAATCAAAGGTAAACACAACTGCTACTTTAAGAGAGATCCATTCTCACCATCAACTTCCACAGTTTTATACTGCAAGATAAATTCGAATTCTGCTACAACTTAAATAAAGAGAAAATAATTCTGTACTTCTTTACACGAAAGGTATATATTTGAACAACAGACAATCAAGTAAGCACGTGTATGGGCAAAACAACACAAGTCAAGCGAAACATATCAATAAACAGTCAGTATAAAATAGAGCATAACAGTGTAGCATTTTACATTGAAAGGTTGGAATATCATGTGTAATTTAAATATGATAAATAACACCAGACTGTCAAGCAATGAAATATCAGGAGGAAAATATACGATAAAATATCAAACTACGAGAATGCACAAAAGTGAATACATTATTTGTTTCGATGAAGGCTAACGGAACTACAAGCAAACAAAATCTACTACTACTACTACATACACACACACACATACAAACACAAACATTTATATACACACATCGAGAAAAACGATAACTAGTCTACATATAATATATGCACCAAAAATAGGTGATTTTGTGTACGGATAGAAAAAACAAGAGATGAGTGGTAAAACACAACAAAAAGAAGAAAAAACAAGTTAGAGATAAAAGAACAATATATGCATATACATAGTTTATTTAGATTTCTAATATTTTCACAGCAGTATAGGTATCCAACTGCTTGATCGTATTTACTTACAATAATCTAAATTTCTGTCCTAAGCAGTGAAATCTAGAAAAAATCCCTTAAACTTAGTGGGCTACGTGTATGAAAATGGCAAATTTAGCTTACTATGAATATATGTCTATAAATAGTGGTAACAATGGAAAAAAAACTGCTTGCAACCCATGAGGCTACTTAGGGTAGACAGAGACAGAAGGAGAGAGACTAGAATACGATAGTAAATTCGTGAATCCGTAAAAGCTTCTGTTGTCTTTCTTACAAATATCCACCATGAACTGTGATGAGTCCTCACAGATTGATTTCATTTTGCTGAATCTCTGTTTACGACTACCAATTCGGATCTCCCATCAAAAACAAGAATCGGAATTCGCTCATCACTTTCAATCGTTTCAGTGTAATCCAGTGCTTTATAGAGGGAGGTTCGCTGAAGGAGTTGCAAAGTGATAAACGAATTCTGATTCTTCTCTCTGACACAGGATCCGGAGTGGTAATTATAAACGGGGAAGACGATAGACAAATCATTACAGTACACAATAGATAATTAAAGGAAAGACATGACAAAAGCTATTGAGATATGAACCATAAAGGAACTGAGAGATTTTCGTCGATAGCTGGAGATGTTATAGGAATTAGGTGAACACGTGATACGAAGCTTGGAGGTTTGTGGCGATTTATTGATTCCGAGTTGGTATTCATGACGAACTGATATCAGTCGGACAACCATTGAAAACCTGGGAGCACTGGACAGCCGTTTCATCCTAGTATGAAACTCCTCAGTGGTACGCACACACAACCCTGATAGGGAACAAACTCAGGATCTTCAGGTTTCCCAGCGAGTATTTTACCATTGAGCCACTGGGTTGGAATCCAATGGTTCACATATTCCTGCTTCTTTCAATTCATGGCATAGTGCAAGTACTATCTAATGTCATGGATGAGTATTTATTTTCACATCCTACTTAGTTTGCTCCACGGGTCATGACTTTTCATGAGAATTTCGGAAAATCTCATCTCGAAGACTGCCACTAATAATCACTTGACGGTGATTTAGATTGGAAGTTTGTGGTCGCTGCCAAACCTGAAGACCCCGGGTTCGATCCTTGGTAGGGTAACGGATGCACACTGCTAACGAGTGTCATACTTAGATGAAAAAGCCGTCCAGTGCCCCCAGGCTTTAAATGGTTCTATAGCTGATACCAGTCCATGACGAATATCACCTTGAGATCGACAAGCAGAACTGTGGTTCAGACTACCTGTTGACGTGACTTCATAGAAGTGCATAACCTTTGAAGTCAGTGATAAATGCTTATTCCCATCAAGTTCAAACACTGTGAAATTAAACTGCATAACTGTCGTGAATTGATATAGAACACTTTCAACAAGGTCAAGTGGTACACGTGGTCTATCGCATGAGTCTATCTAAACATAGAACATATACTATGACTAGATAAGATTTGACAAAAGGAGACTTGAATCGAACTCAGACAATCAATAGACTTCAAAAAAAGCGAAAAACTGATAGTCCTTAATTATTTAGAATTAAATCTCAAGAATAACCTGTAAGATCGTATCACTTTCTTTCTTTCTACTTCTCAAGGTTGTATCACACTTTTGGACGAAACGTGATGACTCGTTCTCACTGCAAAAACGAGCATACAGATACTTACATATAGATTGATTCACAAATGCTAAACATTTTGCGTGAACATATGCGATTATATATGCACAATTGTAAAAACAGTCTTAAAAACTGAGTATGAATGGTTAAATGAGGCGAATGTCTTGACAAGACTGACCTTAAATGAACCTGAAATTATTAAGACGAAGTGCTTTGCGATAACACTAGCAAAGAGAAAATGAAAGAGAATCAAAATATACACTAGAAACCAAAAGCTTTCTTGTTGAAGTAAGAAATGAAGACACTTCAAATGTTGAAATACTGAGGTCATACAGGTTGTGCTTGAACAACAATAAAATGAAGTTTACACTTCCAGACAAGAGAATTAAACAAGTATCTTCAAACAGCAAAAATTAATTTGAAGCCTTAGTGTATACTGATACAAGTATTTAAAACACAAGCGTTAAGTTCATTTCTTTGTCTAGATTTGAAATACGATTACATTTTTTGTTACTGGAAATGACAGTACACTACCGATTCACAAAACCCAATGATGTTACTTGTCAATTGTCAGACATAAACACACATGTATGATGCATCCACCAGCAAGAAAGGGAGCGAAAGGGTGGTTAACACCGTCAAAAAAACCATGAAAGATAATTACTACAAGCTAGGGTAAAGAGCGATGCTGGGTGTAATGTAGTGTGGTTTCCTTACATACAACATTCCAGAGGCGTAAATTGCGTTGTGATAAAACAACTGTGGAAGACGTGAAATAGACTCCCTCTTTAAACACATTTATAAGCATAGGAACTTTTATAAGTGAGAGAAACAACAAGAATTGAGCTATATTTCTCCTCAATATGATGACAAAACATAAAACTAACCACAGAATATTTTTTTCAAAGGTTAAGGTCTTTCTGACCAACATCTATGAAGCAATATTAGCAGTTCAGAAATGTAAATGTACGAGGACAATGATCATTACTGAGATACGAAAACATTCCATTCAATTTCGTCTACTATTTGTTTAGAATTCGATTCAGCCAATTTCCATAAACTCAGGAGCAGGAACTTTATAAGCAACAAAATTATAACCCAATATGATATTTCAGAACTAGGCTTAGTGTTGTACATTCAGAAGTACTAGAAATAGGTGTTACTTCACAGAAAGTATAGGAAAAGATTTGATAATGAAATAAGTTCCCGAGTGATGACTGTACTTTGATGTAGCATGAAGGCTTTTCATTACACTTCAATCTTTAAGTGACATAAAAAAGGTTATATGCACATTTATGGATCAACTAAGTGGTCGGTAGCATACATTGATGTGCACTTAGTAATCATCAAAACAAAGCAAATTAGACGATTATGGGAGTCTTTAAAGACCATCCTAACAACTGCCAAATCAACCAATCCGGTTGCGGTATTTCGGTTGGAAACACAATTTTTAATAGAATAGAGAAGGGTGATTGGCTATTTCATAGGTTGCTAGGGTGGTCTTGAAAATCACTCGAGATAGTAGACAAAAATAAAAGCGTAATATGAAATCCGATACGGAGAATTAAATAATAGACAGTACTTACTTTCAGTTTCGAATTTACTTTGATACGTTTTAAATACGCGAACTTCGTTCTTATCACTACTAAAACTTGATGTGGATGAAACGCCGACAACACTTCTTTTCTGACGGTTAAACCTGAAGCATTAAAGAGAGTTGGAGAAGCTAATCAGAATCTAAAATCTAAAACATTTCTGTGTTGAGATAATCATAATCAAGTGGAGTTAAACAACAGTGAATTTAATCTACAGGAATAGTTAGTAGTAAAGACACACTCGGTCAGAATATACCATTGTGGCCGTCTTCATTGATATCGCAAGTACTGAATAAAAAGATAAACATAGTGTTATTATCAGAATCTATTTTTTTAGGATATCGTTGAAGGTAGCACTAAAATGGAAATCGCTGGTAAAATGCAGCTCAGTCGTCACATGCATTTTTGTGCAATAAACAATGGGCCATACTCATTGTTTGTGAACTAGTGAAACAACTCTATTACCCAGACCTCAATAGGTGAACTTACGATCCAGTAGTTGAAAGTGATGTGCTTAAACCAATAAACCACAGTTCCACACAACTGCTTGATCAAATGGTCAGTTCATTATGAGGTAGAATACACCAACAGTAAATTGAAGAATCTTAACTATAAGCATTCTGATGTTAATTGATCAACAGATCATACCTTGATTTGTTGGTTCGATTTGTATGTTGCAATGACTGAACAAGAAACGTTAGCTGAAATGATTGTTCTTTAAAGTTATGCCATGTTGGGTATATAAGTTGGTTTAGTAGTAAATCTTAAAGCAGCTATCATCATAGTGTAAATTGCTTAAGCTACAATGAAGGTCTGTAGATGAAGTCGTATTGCTGAATAAGCACGGATGTCACAGTGGTAGGTTGTTTTACATAGGCAACCAGTAATGCTGCTTCCTCCTCTCAAACACGAGGGGTCAAATAAAGGAAATGTAGATCACACTAATAACATAGCTCTCGGTAGCGACTGATAAGTGTAGAGGCGACTATACAAATGCCAAAGCCCACAGAAGAGTCATGAGTGATCGACTACAAGCAAATGTTTAATGAGCTTTAACGTCAAGCAAAACTGATCCAAGCAGTTTTGAGGGCAGTATCCTCTGCCATTTCGGCGGCTAGAAAGAATCAACTTCTTATCTTCAAGGGGCATAGAAACTATCTGGTCATCAATAAAAATGTTTAGCTATGTGGCTTTCAGTATTTTCAATATCTGCTCTCGTACAAGAAACATGGCATCTATGGTTCTCTCAATTTCTTACCATGTGACCATTGCAAAAAAAATAAAGCCAGTGAAACATTGTTTTTTGTTTTCACTAAATCACTTTTACTGACTCACCAATGAAGCTTTGATGATCAAACTCTATGGGGATCAGACATTAGGATTTACTAACCAGCGTTCTGAGACATCCAGTTATGGAAACAGCAAAGTGATAAGGAAAAACTTAGGAATGGTGTTCAGTATTTACTGGCTACCATAAGTGAACTGCCACCTAGTGTATGAGACATAAATATAGGAACTTCATATTCTTTTACATTACTGATCAACCCGGTGCAAAAGGTGGTAAAAAAAAAACATCATGTGAGATTAGCAATGAATTATTGAGGCTTAGCTGGAAAGGTAGAACAGTGAACCCAACAAAAATCGGAACATTTAAAATTTCGATCTATGGCCTATTATAAAGTGACGACCAAAGTGGCCACGTTAAATATACGCACATGAAGTGAAAAGGCAAGAAGATGAAAGCCGCAGAAATAAGGAAGAAATCAATCGAAAATGGTAGAAATTTCATGCGATTGCGGTGGTAAAGGCATCCAACCATTTTATTCCCTATTGATAGACACGACTCCAACGCAGAAGAGTTTTGCAGCAACAACTCAAATTACGTATCGAGAAAAGCCATCCCAAACATTCTCAAACTGACACTCAATGTGTCTAGAAAACTCTGCATCTTGTCAGTGTCTTCCACTGACAGGACTATATCATCTGAGTAATCTAGACCTTGCTAAAGGTTCTCTTGCGATAATACCAACTCCTATGAAGTCAGACAACGACAAAGAGACTTGCATAACTAAGTCTATGATAAAGTTGAACAAGACGGGAGATGGAGCAGACGTCCTTGACAGACACCAATTGATGTACACAACTCCCTATAAGCTGTCACATGCCCATGGGTGTTCGAGTACACACCTTTCAATAGAGTGATGTACTCACTCAGCACTCCTTTCAGTGAGAGACACTTTAATATGACCTCTCAATCAACTGATTCGAATGTCGACTTCAGGTTGAGAAATATACACAGCTACCATCGTGTATCTGTGTTTCAGAACTTAGCGTAAAGTGAGTATCTGATCGACAGACCCACAGCCAAATCTGAAACCTGCATAGTTTTCAGGTGTCTGCTGTTTCCGTGCTGTAGTAAGGCGTTCAGTGATTATACAGCCTAGAACCTTTGCCAGATTGATTCTCTTGTGGCTGTCACAAAAGGATTTCTCTGCTTCCTAGTAGACTAGGACAATCCAGTGACTGAGACCGGTTACAGATCATATCTAGTCAGTATTCCACAACCATCATCTTTAAATATCTTTGGTAGTAGTTCTAATCTTACTGCTTTTCCGCGTTTCAGATTGCATACAGGCCGCTTAACTTTTTCAGTGGTCGGAAAGTCTATGCCAACGTTGCATATAGGATCCAACTGGTTAGCGTGGAACCGAAGAGCAGGTGGAGATCAACTGAACTATTACTCGAAATATTCAGTCCATCGTTTCAATTGTCATCATTGTCAGTAAATCACATACTCATCATTCCCCACTAGTCCCGGTAGCCATTGAGTTTTCTAATCTCTTTCTGAGAGTTAGTTCCAGTCTATAACGCTAGTTTCACAGTAGAATCGAGAAAGAGCATAGCTTCCATCAAGTAAGCGACGGTGTCCTTTTCCAATGACTGTTTAGCCGGGTCCTAATAGCAAGTATAGTAGAGCAGCGCACCTTCTGTCTTAACAATCAATCCTATACTTACACCTCCAAGACAGTAAGAACTAACCGTCGAATACCCACAAACTTGAAGGGTCAATTTTCCAGATCTACTACGTCCACTGGGTGAAGTAAAGTGAATAAACGCACTTGTCTGCCTGTCTCTCAAACATAGCATGTGTTCATGGCTTGAGATGCAGGAGTTTAGAGATTGAAATTTGTTGCCCGATTTAACGGATCCTGCATTTTCTCAGTGTCTTCAGCTAGCAGGACAATATCATCTGAGTACTCCAAGTCAACCTGATGATAACCAGGGAGTAGATCAATCCTTGTGAAGTCAGAAGCGCCTAAGGTTGTTTCCTTTAGTATATCTATAACGAGATTAAATAGAAATAGTGACAGCGGGCATCCGTGGGGGACATCGCTGGTTATCCGCAATGCGGATGAGCACTCTCCGCAACCCCTTACAGAGCTGCATGATTTTCAGTAGATAGTTTTGATTAGCTTACTGTGCAGCATTCTGTAGCGAAACGTTTGTAGATATTAAAAGATCATGGACTTTCGGAATGCTTACATGTAATGGGACTACCGAGTGATGAACGTTAAACAGAAAGCCTGCGTATGTTGATCCACTACTTACCTCATTGAAAAACGTTAGGTGGAATGGGATCACTTTGGAGCGGGACTAAGGGTGATAAGATAAAAATGTGGTACAGATCAGTGAAGGTATTGAATGTTGAACTAGATGATGTAAGGAAATGTATGTTATTTGGTTGGAGTCCTTCGGGAATTTATGAATCAATGGTAGGAGAATCTTAGTGGCAAGACTCAGAACTTATCAGAAAGACTTAAAGGTATTCATATTTCTGTGGTCTAAATTTCATTGGAGATCGAAGAGATAAAATCTGAACACAATCAAATTAGCTAAGACAATAGAAGAGTGAATTAAATCCTGCTACACAAGTTTGTACTGTTTACAATTCAACTTCACACCCAAACTAACTTGTATACAGAAATGGATAATCAATAGGTGACAATGTACTGAAGGGGAGCTTAAAATCCGTCCAGTATGCAAACTTAGCTATTTGAAATATGATTAAAGCATCTTGTTAGACGAGTAATTATTTTAGCAAACACCTCCCTTTGCATTAATGCAAAGGAGTTTGTGTCTTTCAAGTGGATAGATAATACTTTAATAACAGATACAGAATGTCTAAGCAATTTGCGACTTTGTAGTAGATGAGCGCACTGTAAAAATAATAATTGTGCTATTAATACGGTAGATAGTAATTTTTTTCAAAAGCAACTCAATAATTATGCATGTTTTTATTTATTAGATTGTGAAGAACTATTGTTGTATGAAAGCTGATTAAAACAATAGTTGTTCAAAATAGAACATATGAAGCAATCTTGAATTTAATATTCAGTGGTTAAATGGCTATCATGATACTAATCAGACTGTATAGCTCATTAATTAAAGTGTGAGAAACAGATTCAATGCCTTTTGGTTGGTTTTGATAGTTGACCGTTTCATTTAATAAGTAGGAATATGGACTCTCTTGTGATAATCACAGTTGAATTAGACACTGTGTTGAGTATTACAGTTTATATTCAGCCAAACTGGAAACATAAGATAGTTAACGTCGAACCCAATAGAGACGGCTACATTACAATGCTGAGCATGAGTACAGACTCAAAACATTTCCCCATCAAATAACGAAACAAAAAAATACTTGATGATATCTCATACTAGCCATATTTCTTTTTTAAAATAAAGGTAGAATTTAATTTCACCAAACGAAAGGTCTGAAAAGACGTTTGATAAATGTATAAAGTTACTAAACACCTTCTATCTGCATGCTAATAATTATGTTAGACCTTGTAGTCGTAAATAGGTAGTTGTTTATTGGTACTTGAAATTTACCGTTGCTCTACCTCTGTAAACTACGACCTAAATAAGTACTATTTGAGAAGAACACTCACCCTTTTACTCTTATTTACCTTTAGAAGACATAGTCCTAGATGTTAGGATTCCTTTTTAAAGGATTTATCTCTCTGCTGGAGATTATGTTATCTACTTAAACTAAGTAGTAAGAGTACTTCTGCAAAGTGAATATGGTGCTAAAATCCAGTTTCCTAAAAACACAAAATGTCGCTTTACAACTAACAAAATGGTTTATATGCAAATGTTATGGGTGTTTTTGATCACTGGAGATTTTGAAGAGTTACTGGAATAAAGTTGAATCATAGACTGGGCGGAAGAGACAAATGAGTAAGGTTTTTTTGCTTGCCTTCGCGACACCGCAACAAGTGAGGGAATACATACATCCATCGAGTCTCTAAATGATGAGTTAAATTTTGTAATGAAGTATAGCCCTTCTGGTTGTCATCAATAAGGAAATTAATATCGACTACTGGAAACCTTGGATAATAGAGATCAAGTAGATTACAGATGCACTTGCAACTCACATTTTTTGGAGCTGCAGTGTAGTAACTTGAATAGATACACAGTTGCGTCAGATTCAGTTTTGTTTATGATGCCACGGTTTTTAAATTTTAGGTGTGAGATGAACATATCACAAGCTAAATAAAATATTTGGATCTGATACCTAGCACAATGAACTTGAAGCAGATGTAAATATAACCGTAGGTATTACAAAGTAAAACAAGGTATAGTGAAATAACGATTAGCTAGTGATAGGCTAAAATTTTGCATTTAACACTGCCACGCAAGATGTTTTCATTACTCAAATATTGATCAGTTGCATAAGATATTTTTTAAAAGGCTGCATAACTGGTGAGCCTAATTTACTGTTACTGTGGTCTTGTATATGACATCGGAACGATTAGTCTGTGTACCCGAAAAACTCATTCAGATCGACCCACATAATTGGAGTTTTAAACGTAAACATGTATATTAAACGTATGTTATCCAAATACTTTCCTGTTATCTAGGGATTAATTCTTTTACACTCAAGCAAGAAAGGCAGGATTTGGAGGATAAACTAGTCAAATAATCTAAATGCATGAAATTCATAAAGTCAGTTATTTGCCTTACTAGTATGTTTTTCCAATGTCAGATGCAACAGTTTGCATGCATATCCTGAGGTTAATAGTAGTTGTTTAGTTTATTTACGCTCATTTTGACAGGCATACTGATAAATTATCATTTTGACTATCTGCGATAGCTGTGCTTTGGCAGTTTTTTGTCGATACTAGGTAATGATTAAAGGTGAAACGAAAAGATGGATCGCAGCGGGATTCGAACCAGCGACCACCAGGTTTCCGACCCAGTGAAACGCTGGCGCGCCAGCACCTTTCACCCAGTAGGCCATAAAAATCCAAACTCTAAAGTGACTGATTCATAACACTAAATGTTATATTGGTATAATAATATAATGTGTTAAAAAGGTTAGAAAAATGATAACTTACACACGAACACTGAGTAAATAAAATTCAGTAAAGAAAAACATGAATTTTGAAATAGCTATAGTTAGAAAATTTAATTTAGTTATTTTATAACCGATTAAGAAATTGTCAGTGCAATTCAATTTAACAAAATAATGAAGATTTTGAAGAAAATCCTGATCATAAATAATTTATGTAAATTTTAGTAATGCTCAATTTTGACGTTTTTCCTGGGTACTACACTAGAAACCTAAGAAAATAGGAACCAAGTTGAAAATTATTTCTGCATTGGTGTTCTTCTGTTTACCTGTACAGTTATAAGAAGTGATTTCTGAGGGAAAAATGACACAGGTGGACTGCTAGTGATCCACCGAAGACATTTCCAAAGAATTAGTTAAAAAAGCTGGAGTCACTGTAATAGAAATGTTTAGGATAATTTTAACGCTTAGAGTAATGATAGTCATTAAATAAGGTGAAGAACTTCTGTCACGAAGATGGTCGGGATACAACACATACTTAACTGTCAATTATTAAACGTGCCATGGTGGCTGATAAACAGACACGATCAACATAGAACTTCGCACACAAGTGCATGACCTCAAGTACCCACACTACACAGTAGTACACAAATAACAGGTGGATAGAATAAGAGTGATATCAAAGTAGATGAAGTTGTGTAACAGAATAAACATGTTGGAGATAACGGTTAGTAGAAATATTCAAGCCTTAGAGGAAGTCAAAGAGTGAATACATCTGCGCCAGTGAGACCGACAATCAGGCAATTCACCAAAGATCTCCAACTACTGATCCTTATCACCTCAGGGATCAATGCCATACAACTTACATCTCCCCACACAGCTCAGACCAACAGTCAGACTTCCTGTCTTGGTGCAAGGTCTTGATCTGGCGACCGTGAACCCTTCTCTAAGCTAATCTTACTTTCCCTAGAATGGCACGTCGACTTGAGCGATGGCTCGGCATTGCGTAGTACATATCCGAGTAATCTCAGCCGATGAAGGCCCACAACCTCATAAGTCGACTTGCCTAACAAAGGAAAGAGTTAAGAGTAATTTCCGGATAAGTCGATCAAGAGGTACCACGTATCTTAGAATTCAAGGAGTCTAAGTGGTAAACCATTTTATAAGCTTTCACGGTGATAAAAATCAGTGATTGAGGATTTTAAGTGGTAAATTGTTTGGCTCACAGCTTTTTTGTATTTAACCTTCCAGTAGTGGATCACAAGTTTAAACCCTGTGAAATACGACTCGATGTAGGTGCACATATTGTAGCGAAACACCTCAGACATCAGGAGTGGGTCAATGGAAACATACTGGTTGTGGACGGAGTGCCAACCGAAGTGGGTGGTTGGAGACTCCAGGTGATACGGCTGAGGATTATTCTCCGTGACGATCTATCTTTGTTTGAGTCATCATACCGAATTTCATGATTGTTTCATGCTATGTACTCCTAACAGGACTTTATAGAACTTGTGATTACTTTCTTACTTACTGCTCCAACATTCACTTGATCTGCTGGTATATGGTATGGCAACTTGGTCGGCTAAGCAGCAATGCTAGGGTGCTATGTTGATATCCTCTGTATCTATCTGACTTGGAAAGTGCAGCTCACAGACTAGCACTATACGAAGCCTACGCCGAAAACCCGTGGGACATAATTCAATGTCAAGGAACTACACCAATGAAGCACAACCTTTTAAGGGAGTAAAAACCCATTATTATCCTTCTCTAAACTCCTTTCTAATCCCACCTGGTTAACCAGTTCACTAGTTACTAGCCGATCCCAAGCCCAGGTAAAGAGGGAAGGTTGAACATAGGGCTAGCAACCCTACCCCAGAAAATCAATTCAATCGCTAAAGAAACTTCAAACCACTAAGAAAATATAAAAATAAAAACAAACATATTCCTCGCTGGAATCGGAGAGGTAAAATGACGCCGGTTGGTGAAGGCCTTCGGGAAGCCAATTCGTCGATGTGTCTTTTCTCTCTCTCTCTCGATGAAAGCGAAAGGAAGAATGGGAACATGGAATGTCTGCACTATGTATGCACCTAGCAAGGTTGCCAAGATTGCAAAACAGATGAGAAGGTATGGCATGGAAGTGCTTGGAATCTGCGAAAGCAGATGCAGTGGAAGTGGACTCTTCAAACTCTTAACTGGGGAGTCAATAATCTACTCTGATACTGCAACCCAGATGACAACCACGAACGAGCACACTGAGTTTCCGAGTGGCTATCATGATGTCCCCAACAGCATCAAATGCTCTCTCTCATGCAGTGGAACCAATCTCCTCATGCAGGATCATGACACCAAGATGGATTCACCTCAAAAAGAAGGAAAGTCACAATCATACAATGCTACGCTATGCTATGCACCTACAAATAAAGCGGATCAAGAGAAGAAGGAGGAATTCTATAGACAACTGCAATCAACACTGGACACCACCCCAACCCAGTTGGCGACATTAAAATCCATTCTAATGGGTGACATGAATGCCAAACCTCGAGGGGACAACACAGAAAGAGAACTCATCATAGGTCGACAGGCACTTCGTGAAATGAACGAGAATGGAGAACTGTTTGTAGACTTCTGTGCATTCAACGATTCGGTGATTGGAGGGAGGCAGTGTGTACAAACACAAGGATATTCACAAGGCAGCGACATGGATTTGATTTCACCAGACACCAGGACACACTACACTAAAAATCAGATCGACTTCATCTCAATCTCAAGAAAGTGGAGACGCAGTCCACTGGACACAAAATCAGGTCAACAAGAGGAGCACATGTAGGCTCAGACCACACACCACCTAGTGCAAGGAACCTACCTGCAAAATCAACTTAAAAGCCTTCAAAGAAGTTGGTGATAGACCACAGTTCAAGTTCAACACCCACAACAGAAACTGAAGGACAAAACTACAAAGGAAATCTTCACATCAGTCAGCCATCAAGACAAAATGGGAGATATCCAGGGACATCCTTGAAGAAACCTGTGTGGAAGAACACTGGAACTATTTGAAAGCTATGAGGAAGGAAACCTGCATAACTGTATTAGGAGGGAATGGATGTTGATGGACACATGGAAGCTGATAGAGCAGGGAGAGGAGGATGGTGAAGCAGAAGACCAACCAGTGCAGAGCAGGGATGAACAACGAAAAGAAGAACTGAATACAACGCATGAAGCACTGGACAAAGAAGTGAAGAAGAAGAATGCACGGGAAGACAAAACACACTTCTACGACACACCTGCAACTGTAGCAGAACAGGCTGCCAGCTGGTAGGAGTGACAGAGACCTGACAACATTGTATCAAATAACAAGGTTACAATCTGGGAGAGAAGAGATCAACTCAGATGAAACCAATAAAAGATGATGAAGGGAATTTAATTACCAAAGAAGAGAAACAAAGGAAACGATGGGCTGACCATTTCACAAAGCTCTTGAACCGATCACCACCACCATCACCTGCACTTCGTCCAGATATACCACATGCAGCCCAGCCATAGAACTACAAGTGAACACAAATCCTCCAACAAAAGTCGAGGTCCTGAACACCATAAAGCTACTGAAATGCAGATAAGCAACAGGACCAGATGGAATCCCACCAAAGCACTGAAAACAGACGCAGAGACAACAGCGGATATGCTCACACCACACCACTATTGCAGAAGGTCTGGAAGGAAGGGAAGGCACCTGCCCAATGATTGGAAGGAGGGCTACCTTGTCAAACTTCTAAGAAGGGAGACCTCAGTGTTTGCAAGAACTGGAACGGAATCACTCTCCTGTCCACCCAAATCAAGCAAAATATTAAGCTGCATCATACTGGAGAGACTAAAGATGCACTGGATTCAAAACTATGACATGAACAGGCTGGATTCAGGAAGTACAAATCATGTGCCGACCAAATTGCAACACTACACTACGCATCATCATAGAACAGAATATAGAATGGCAGTCAACTCTACACCTTAACTCAACTTCATCGACACTGAAAAGGCTTTTGACAGCGTCGACCGAGAGGTAATTTGGAAACTGCTTCAATACTACGGAATACCACAAACCTTTATCAATCTCATTCAACAACTATATGAAGACTCCACATGCAAAGTAATTCACAATGGAAAGCTCAGTGATGCCGTTGAAGTGAAGACAGGAGTAAAACAAGGTTGCCTACTATCACCCATCATATTCCTCATTGTGGTTGACTGGGTCATGCAAAAACAGTGAGGAGCAAGAAGAGGGGGATACGCTGGACTACGGAAAATAACCTACAAGATCTGGATTTCGACAATGACTTATGTCTAATGTCACACAAACTGGAAGATCTACAGACGAAAACTGACAAGTTGACAGAAGAGGCAGCGAACACGGAACACTATTCAAGTGAACGTAGAGAAGACAGAGGTGATGAAGACACCAAACCAACAACAACAAGCTCCAATCACCATCAATGGGAGAAACTTAAAGGAAGTAACCTCTTTCACCTATCTAGGCAGCACTGTCTCAACTACAGGCGCCACAGACGAGGATGTCAAAGTCAGAATCGGAAAAGCAAGACAGGCGTTCATTAGCCTGAAACCAGTGTGGAGATCTTCTGCACTCAGCATACAGTGTGAACAAGATCCGGATTTTCAACACCAATATCAAGTTAGTGCTCGTGTATGGTTCAGAGACTTGGCGCGTTACGAAAAGATTTCCAATAAACTACAGACATTTATCAACAACTGCCGCCTACACTGGCTCGTTACTGAAGATCAGATGGCCAGAATAATAAGAATAAGCAATAAGGAACTCTGGCTGGCAACGAACCAACCAAGAACCTATCGCTCATCAAATATGCAGAAGGAACTGGAGATGGATTGAATTGTGCATACACTGGGACAACCACTTAGAGACATCACACGCCAGGTCAGGCCCTCAAGTGAAACCCAGATGGGAAGCGACGAGTTGGGCGTCCGTGGTGAGGGTGACATGGAGGAGATCGTGTGAGGAAGAAGTGAGAGCTTTTGGGCTGTCGTGGG